ATATACTTACGAAACAACTCATGTGAAAAATACTACTGAATAATAATAATAATGTATGAAAAATAATGAAGACATGAGATTTGATGCACTTTTAAATAAACGAACTAAAAGTAGTTGTACTTTTATTATATTTGTGTTTTTCTGGTTGATAATGATCGAAAAATTACATTAAGTTAAGATTTTCATTACATACATTTTCGTAAATTGTCTGTTCACTTGATTGTTTAACGGTCCGCACTTCACTGTTTGGTTGAAAAGATGATGATACTGAAAGAGATCCTTCTCATAAGGATTGACCGGAGAGTAATCGGGATTAAGGAATACGAATCTTATGTTAGTTTTTGACAAATTATATAAATAAAAAGCTTAGTAAAACTGTAGAACACAATTTTTATGAGAAAGAGCTGAGGGTAAATGTGGGTGTTGACTTCACCATCATCCATCCTCATACTCATCCTATTTCAGGTAAGAAACAAATGCTTGTATAACGAAACCGAATAAGAAAAATGGAGTAATACGTCTTTCAATTGAAAAATATATGTATATCAGTACCTAGTGAAAAATTGTCAGACTATACCTCATTGTGTAAGATTATAATCGAATTTTTGTGCAACAAAATCAGAATTATAATCGATTGAAATCTTTCAAATCAACAATAATTCGATTTTTAATCAAAAAAAATCTTCTAAATCAAATACAATTTTGATTAAAACCATACAAACTTGATTTACTATATTTGTAATCCGAACTACATGATTTTAATCAAAATTATATTTGATTTAGAAGATTTTTTTTTGATTAAAAATCGAATTATTGTTGATTTGAAAGATTTCAATCGATTATAATTCTGATTTTGTTGCACAAAAATTCAATTATAATCATACATAATCAGGTATAATTTGACAATTTTTCACTGGGATATCTAATAATAAGTCAATGTATGATCTTATTTTTCTACTATTTCATTCAAAATATAATTTCTTAGTTAAATCGAACATACTTATTGATTGTTTGATCCTGAGTCTTTTCTCTCTAACAGAACAACAGCATATACCAACACGTATTATACGTAGTAAAAGAACGAGAGGAAAGATATAATTATGTGAATGTCATACATATGTTTAAATGTAGCTATAGAACGAACGTATCGGAGCCAGTGTCATCTGCTCTGCACATGATATATTCTCTTCTCTCTCATGTTTGTTTGTTTCCACTCACACTCCTGTTACTTGGCTTTTGCTCCTCTCCCATATATTGTTCTGTTCTGTGTGTTGAGAATGTGTGATGTGTCATCATTCTTTCTATATGGATTAGTGCTCGGTTATAGAATAAACTAACATCTCACAGCCAGACTCATACAATGAATCGTTTCGTAGTATATTATCAATATGCGCCATAATATCCTCCTCACAGAATATTTCTAGTAGCACGATACAGAAAGAAATTTTACTAATGGCGAACACTGAGCAGGAGACGCTAATATATCCATTTGAAGAACCAACCACCAACAATTATTCTCTTATTTGGTTTGCTAATGAAATCAATACTGATGAATATAATTACACTCAAGGAAAACTGGAACTGTTTATCGATTATTTTCATATATTTAATGAATCGGATCCATGTAAAAAACATATTCAATCAATGTCAACAGCTGGCACTCGAATCATTTTTATTACTAATGAACATTTCGGTGAACAATTTATCTCTCAAATACATCAATTTCGACAAATTTCTATTATTTATATCTATTGTACGAATCCAGAATATCAAGAAAATTGGACTAAACAATACAGAAAAGTAAGTAATATTAACAACAACAATGTTCTATTAAATCTTATTGATTTGTAATTGTAGGTAAGAAGTATCGAATACCAATTAGATGCTCTGATCGATCGTATTAAAATCGATCGAACACGGCGCAGAGAATATGATAAAGATGAATCATTATTAATGAATTTTTTTCATGATGATCGAAATAACGAAAAATCAACTATGGAACTCAATGGTGAATTTATTCAAACACAATTACTTATCGATTGTCTAGATCGAACGGAAACCACTGATCGTGATAAAGATAAACTTACTATCCTATGTAAAAAGATCTACAACGAAAATAAATATCAACAAGCAATTATTGATGAATTTCAAAATACATATTTATCTAATCAAGCAATTCGTTGGTACACAAGAGATTCATTTCTTTATCGTCTATTAAATAAAGCACTTCGAATGCAAAATACTAATTTCTTATTTCTCTTTAGTTTCTTTATTCGTGATATTACAAAACAATTACGAGATCATCAATATCCATCGGCAATCATTCTCTATCGAGGTCAAATAATATCAAAAAAAGAACTGAAATTATTTGAAGAATCGAATAGAAAATTCCTTTCGGTAACTTCATTTTTTTCGACTACGCTCGATCCAACTGTCGCTCTCAGTTACATTGATTCCGAACTCATCGATGATGATTTACAAAGTGTACTATTTGAAATTCATGCTGATCCATCGGAAAATCAATCGAAACCATTTGCTGAAATTACATCAATCAGTTATTATCCTGATGAAAAAGAAGTATTAATGATGTTAGGTTCAGTTTTTCGAATCGATAGTGTCGAGTATTTAACTGAAACAATCAAAGTTATTCGAATGACACTTTGTAATCATAATAATCAAAATTTAAATTTAGTTTTCGATTATATGAGAAAAGAACGTGGTGTTGGAACAGTTCGATTGGCTCTTTTCGGTCGTGTACTTATTGATATGGCAAAATTTCAAATAGCAGAAAATCTTTTCAAATGTTTACTGAAAACTTTACCAGTTGATCATCCAGATCTACCTGATTGTTATCAAGCATTAGGAAAAATCTATTGTGAAAAATGTGATTTCGATCGTAGTTTTCAATGTTTTCAAATTGCATTTGATCTTCTCCGACGAAAATCAAATGATAATAGTTTTCGTATTGCTTATGTTCATAATAGTATTGGTGAATTGTATCAGAAGAAAGTGAATACGAGTGAAGCATTAAAATCATTTCAACAAGCGTTGAAAATCTTTCATGAATTACTTGGTGATAATAATGAAAATGTTGCTTGGTGTTATAATAATATCGGTATTGTTTATTTTATGGAAAAGAAATATCCAGAAGCACTTGCTTATCTCAAAAAAGCCTTAGATTTGAAAAAATATTTACTTCCAGAAAAACATCCTTGTCTTGGAAATACATATATTAATCTTGGTAATGTTTATTGTGAACAAGGTGATTATGATTTAGCAACAAAATATTATCAAGAATCATATGAGATTTTTCAAACTTCTCTTAGTTCACAACATCCTTCTATTGCTAGAGCACTGAGGAATATTGGTTTCGCAAAAGAATTGAAAGGTGATTTTATCAAGGCATCAATCTTTTATAATCAAGCATTGGATCTTCGTCAACAAATTTTATCAGCTACTCATGCTGATATACTAGAAAGGAAACAAGATATACAACGTGTTTTGTCAAAAATATAACTCATTTTTCTAGTGTATAAATAAAATCAAACAGAAATGGGTGGTTGTGGGTGTAAGTTTCAGCAAGCAAAGAAGAGACACCCACACCCACACCCTTTTTTTTATTTCTCGATTTTTTATTTAACTAAAACTTTCATTCACAAAATTATTTCAAATTTCTCAATTCGATGATTCCAACGATCAGCAACATAAAGGTTTCCTTCATCATCAAACGATAAACCCATGGGATGATTCAATTGATTTGATTGATTTCCTTCACCATTTCCACCAACAACAATTTCACCTTCTTCTTTTCCTTCACACCAACGCATTACTCGATCATTCCCAAAATCTGCCACATAGATTTGACCCAAATAATCAATAATTACTCTTGCAGGTTCAGACAATTGATTCAGATTTCCCCCTTCACCATTTCCTCCAGCCACAACTATGCCTTCTTCTGCATCTTTTCTCCATTTCACTACACGATGATTCCATTTATCTGAAACATAAACAGATTGATCTTCATCAACAAAGATAAAAGTAGGATAACTAAGTTGATTAAGTTCGTCTCCTTTTCCATTTCCACCAGCTACTACAATTCCTTCGTTGTCGTATTCTCCCATTTTCCATCGTCTCACTTCATTCCTCTTCGTATCGGAAACATAAAGAAATCCATTTTTATCCATTGCCAAGCCCCAACAATCAATATTATCGATGAGAACTTGTTGATTCTGGTTCATCCATTGTATTACTCGTTTGTTTCCATAATCAGCAATAATGATCGAATGATTTTGTTGATCAAAAATAACATTAGTTGGATAATTCAATTGATATATTCGATTTCCTTTACCATTTCCACCTGCAATAGTTTGTCCTTCTTTTGCATTATATTTCCATTCGACAATACGATGGTTGTAACTATCAGCAATAAAAATATTCTTCTTTTCACCAACAAAGATTCCTTCAGGATAATTGAATTGATTTAATTTCTGTCCTTGTTCATTTCCACCAGCAACAGTGATGGCATCTTGTTTCCATTTATTGAATTTTGGTTCTAGAAAATGATGAGAAAAACAAAAATTTTTTGAATCCTTGAAAAAAATGTTATTTTTTAATAACTTACTTTTCGATAATATAATTGAAATATCATGAATAAATGGTTGTGAATCTTGTTGAATAGAAATCTTTGATGGATTATTTAATTCTTCTGTCATTTTTATTAGTTGATTTGTTAAATAATTTAAATTCATTTCGTTAAATTCATTTTCTTGATGAATCTGTTTTATTTGTTCATTCAAGTCTTTAAATTTCTTTTCAATATCCTTGATACATGTTTGTGATGATTTAATGAATATATCTCTGCACTCTTGTGCTTTTTCTTGAATGATTTCAATTGAATTTATTTCCCATTGATCAATTTGTTTTATTAATGAATGCTTTTCTGGATTTCGCTTTTGTTCATTCATTATTTGTTTAAATTCATTATAATCATTAATAATATGATCTAGTTTTTCATTTAGTATTTGTTGATGTTTTGCTAAGTCCATAGAGCAAAATTCTTTTGAACATCCTTGACAAGAATATGCTATTTTCTCTTTATCATATGTAAAACATTGTGTTTTGTTACTTGCCATTGCCATGTTTTTGAATAGTAGTTTATAGAAGAAATGAATAAAATCTAAAAAGAATCTTGTTGTGATATCTTACATATAAGAAATGAAAGAATGAAACTCTTTTCTTCAATATGGAAGAGAAAGTGGGGTAAATATTTACTAAACACATTTAAATGCGGCGGAAAGAAAAACAAACAAATATAATTATGATATTTTTTCTCTTGTAAATAACCTTCACAAACCATTTTTTTCATTATCATTTGTATAATGTAAACTGACTTTTATATGATAACTTGATGTATCTATTTTCTTTCTATGCTTGACAAAATTTCGACGAAGAACGGTAAAAGAATATATGAATATTGGATCATTATTTTTTTGTGTTTTTGAAATAACAGTTTCGTAGTACGAGAAAAAAAAGTAGTTAATTAAGTTGGAGTGTTCCATATGAAAATGAATGGAAAGAAACGATAGAAGAAAAAAATCTAAAATGTGAAGGGATATAAAGATCTCTTTATAATAGAAAATAGAAAATAGAGAAGAATAAAATCATGTCAACAAGGTTATTTGTTTTATAAAAAATCAATAATTTCTTTTTGTCTATCAATACGTGCATTACTTATTTAAGCACATCCTTTTATTTTTCTACTCAGCTGATCTTGGGATCATTTAAAGAACAATTTCATGTTAAAAGGTTCAACTGTAAAATAATCATGTGAGAAAAATAAATCGTCAAACTCGAAGCAGATGTAAACTAATTTCTAGTCATCAGATGATGAAGTCATTTTTTTTGTTAGAAACTTTACTTTCATTCGATGTTTTATTGATTTGAATAATTTATCGGTTAGACAATTGATATGCGTAATGGTTCGAACTACGTCTGAGATATAGTTCACTTTATAGATCTCGACAAACTCTATCAAATAGCATATATTTAACCGAATGAAACTAAATTTATGTTATGAAGATTCTTCTATGTCACTATCTTCTGACAATTATGTGGACTATCAAATCGTTTCATTAGAATTAGCCTGTTCAATGGAATTCTGTGATCTTTATCAAATTGGATATACAGTTTTCACGCCAGTTATGAATGAGAAGGATGAAGATGAAAACATTGACTTTCTTCTATTGAAGAAAAGGTAATTAGAAATATTTCACTTATTGACCCATTTTATTCTAGAAGTCATCTATGGAACTTTCAATGGAAAAAATATGATAGAGACCTTGATGAATATCTCAGATATTTATAGGTTCGTTTCTCTCATTGAGGTCTGAAAAAATGAAGATAATCAAACTATCATAAGGATGTGTATGTGCGTGTCAGATTTATCTTTCATTCATGCCATCGCCCACACTCAATTTTTGTTAAAAACATTTTTTAAAAATCGAACAAAATGAATTCTTTTTTTCTACAAATTTCAAATCAACAAAAAAAAATGAAGTTTAAAAATGATAAAATTGTTAACTTCTCAAGAAAACATCTTTTCAACATTTGTCTTGTTCAATAAAATTCATTTCAATTCAATCTTTAAGAAAACTACCGAAAAGAATGTTCTTGTTTATTTCCTTTTAAATAAATGTTTAGTTCTTGAGAATTAATTCGATTTTTCCATTGACTGCCAACAATAAAATTTCACTTGTTCTTTTGCTTTATTTCTCGATATTTTATTTAAAAAAAAGTTTCTCTTCTTTTTTCCAAAATCAAAATTCATTCATAAAATTATTTCGAATTTTTGAATTCGATGATTCCAAAAATCAGCAACATAAAGATTTCCTTCATTATCGAAAGATAAACCTATGGGACGATTCAATTGATTTGATTGATTTCCTTCACCATTTCCACCAACAACAAGTTCACCTTCTCCTTTTCCTTCACACCAACGCATTATTCGATGATTCACACAATCTGCCACATAGATTTGACCCAAGTCATCAACAATTACTCCTCGAGGTCCAAGCAATTGGTTGAGATTTCCTCCTTGACCATTTCCTCCAGCCACAATTGTTCCTTCTTTTGCATCTTTTCTCCACTTCATCACACGATTATTGTTGTTGTCTGATATATAAACAGATTGTTCTTTATCAACGAAGATAAAAGTAGGACAACTAAGTTGACTGAGTTGATTTCCTGGTCCATTTCCACCTGCCACTATAATTCCTTCGTTGTCGTATTCTCCCATTTTCCATCGTCTCACTTCATTCTTCTAATAATCAGACACATAAAGAAATCCATACTTATCCATTGCTAAGCCTTGACAATCAATATTCTTAATGAGCATTCGTTGATTTTGGTTCATCCATTGAATCACTCGTCTGTTATTACAATCAGCAATGATGGTTGAATGATTTTGTTGATCAACAATCACATCTTTGGGATGATTCAATTGATCCATTCGATATCCGTCCCAATTTCCATCTGCGATGATTTATCCTTGCTTCGCATTATATTTCCATTCAACAATACGATGATTGAAAAAATCAGCTATGAAAATATTTTTCTTTTCATCAACAAAGACTCCAAAAGGGCGATTGAGTTGATTTAATTTCTGTCCTTCTCCATTTCCGCCAGCTACAGTGATGCCATTTTGTTTCCATTTGTTGAATTTCGATACTAGAAAATGATGAAAACAGAAGATGTTGATGAGAAGAAGAAGAATAGAAGTTGTTTTTGATCGAACAAAAAAAAAACGATCAAATTTTCAATGAAACTTTGATTTTGTTTTTGTCAATCAGACATTTTTTTGACTTCTTGAATAAACATTTCAGCTTTCAATTAAATATTATTGCATATCTTATCATTCTTTTTCTTTTATATGCAAATAAGTTTAATTTCTATTTTTATTAACACTATTATTATCGATTAAATAAATCAATAATATTCTCAATTATTTCATCTTCTTCATTATTATCCTTCTTTGTTTTTACATTTTTTTAACATAAATTCATAGAAAATGAGAATTATTTTTTTTAGAAATTACTTCTCAAAAACTTACTTTCTGATGAAATAATTGAAATATCATTAATAAATGTTTGTGAATTTTGTTGAATAGACATATTTGATGGATTATTTAATTCTTCTGTCATTTTTATTAGTTGATTTTTTAAATAAATTAAGTTAGTTTCATTAAATTCATTTTCAGCATGAATTTGTTTTATTTGTTCACATAAATCATTAAATTTCTTTTCAATATCATGAATAAATGTTTCTGAAGACTTAGCAACAATTTTTCTACATTTTTGTGCTTTTTCTTGAATTATTTCAATTGAATTTGTTTCCCATTGATCAATTTGTTTTATTAATGAATGATTTTGTGGGTTTTGTGAATTTTGTTTTTGTTCATTAATTGTTTGTTTAAATTGGTCATAGTCATTAATAATATGATTTAATTCTTCGTTTAATATTTGTTGATGTTCTGTTAAATGATTTAAACAAAATTCTTTTAAACATCCTTTGCAAGGATATGTAATCTTGTCCTTATTACATGTAAAACATTGTGCTTTGTTGTTTACCATTGCCATATCTTTGAATATAAATTTATAAATGAAATAAATAATCTCCTTATCGACTTATTTATATATAAATTTAATGACTCAATAGCAATAAAAACATTGCATGCTCATTAGTAGAAGAAATCTAAAAAGAATTTTGTTGTAGCAAAATTCCACTGATAAGACTGATGTAACATCTAAGATGGCTGGACTAAAATTGGAAATCGATTTTGTTTTAATTTCAAATAAAAATCCAAACGATTTTTATGATATTTTCTCAATAAAAGAATGTTTTAATATAGATGTTCGTATGTTTGTTAGTGAGTTTTCATTGATCCGCATCCATGAATACTTATTAAAACTGACTTAATCTCAATGCGACCTATGTAAAACAGAAAGATAAGTTCGAATTTTGAAAGATGCGAATCAGTTGTGTTAGTACCAATATTATTATATCTTTTATAAATGTAATACTTTTTTTAGCCTAAAAATTCTTTGTATCATCATTGCAAGGATTATTTACTAGGTCTGATTTAACAATATCATCATTTAACTTTCGTAGAGTTTGTCCTTCTATTTCTGAAACATCTAACGTATGATGGTTAGTTGAATTTATCTTTGCTGATTAACTCATGGTAGATTAAAGCACGAAGAATACGTTACAAATAAGCAATGAAACAATAATACTCTTTTCGTTAATGCCTTTGAAAATATATTATTGAAGAAAACGTTTGATAAATACTCACTAAGCACACCTAAATATGAAGAGAAGAGGAACAAACCAATATAAATACGATATTTTTTCTCTTCTTATTTTTCTTCTTACAAATGACCTTCACAAGCCATTTTTTTTATTTCGTCATCATGTGTGTAATGTAAAGTAACGTTATGTGATGTTTTGATCTATCTGTTTTCTTTCTATTCTTAACAAAATTTCAACGCAAGTAAAGAAAGAAAAAGAATGTAGAAACATTGACTCATTATTTTTTGTTGTTTTGAAATAAACAATCGTAATAAGAGAAAAAAAACAGGTAATTAAGTTGGAAAATTCCAAATGAGAATGAATAGACAGAAAAAAATCTAAAAAATGATTAAGTCACATAAAGGAAAAGAAATAGAACTAAATTGTCAATATAGGCATATGATCGATTATGTAGAATATATGACGCTCTCTTTAAAATAGAAAGCAGTTTCAGTTAAATGAAAAGCATACAAATAGTGAAACAGAGAAGAATTGAATCACGTCAACAACGTTATTTTTCCTAAGGATGAATAATTTCTTTTCGTCTATCAGCATTTGCACTATTTGTTTATACACTTTCTTTATTTTTCTTCCGAGGGAACTTCACCAACTGATACCAAGCTTTTCAGTTCGGACCCCATGCATAAAGTAGGTCCTAGTGAGGTATGAAAAACCCCAAAAGGATAAGTGCCATTAGGCCTTCTGTCCCGAGTTATAGGCAATATACTGAAATTTTAGTCTATGGCAGGGTATGTAGGAATAGTGGCGTAACCAGAAATTTAAGGGTGATGGGGCTCAGCCCCAAAACCAGAAATGGACAACTCAGTTCGAAAAATGATGAACTCAATTTAACTCAATTTCATTCATTAACCTAGTTGAATTAAATTGAGTACAACTTTTTAGTATGACTGAATTGAATTGAACTGAGTTGAATTCTGGAAAATTTTTAGTGGGCGTGAATTGAGTTGAATTCAATTCAAAAGTTTTTTTCACGAATTGAATTGAATTAATTCACTTTTTTCTGCTAAGTTGCCCTGCCCTGCTCTGCCCAAAACTGTCTAGTCTTTTCGATTTTTTGATTGTCAAGTTTAGTAACTAAAAAAGCTTATCAGCGCAGCCCCGTTGGGGCTAAAAATGTGGAACTCACGTATGTTCGCATCAAAATATCTGATCATGTTTAAGCGCTTTGTCTTCTTTTTTTGCTCAAATTTAGTTAATTTATAGCTATTTTTGACAATTTTTGGTTATTTATATTAAATTCGCGGCAGTATATAGCTATTTTTAGCGATTTGTCATTATTTTCATAAAAGTTCCCGCAATTTATAGCCATTTTCGTTATTTTTTTTTATTAAATTTGTAGTAATTTATAGCTATTTTTAATGATTTTCGTCTATTTTTATTGAATTTGGGGGGAGGGGGGAGGGGAGCTGGGAAACTGGAACTTAAAACTTACACTCACGATTTTCTTCGAAAACTTACGTGAGTTCCACAAAATCCGGGTGATGGGGCTTAAACACTCAGTGATGGGGCTAAGCCCCATCTGCCCCCCCCCTGGTTACGCCACCATGTAGGAATAAATCAAATGACGATATTTCGACCTGAGATTTTGCCCACAGAGAGGTCTATTAGTGACTAGAATACCCTGAAAATTTCAGCTCAAAAGAATGTTTCCCTCTCGAGATATTAAAGTCTTAAAAAACAGGAAATTCTAGTATGTTTCGTGGGATATACGTGATTTTTTGAGACTTTAATATCTCGAGAAGGAAACATTCTTTTGAGCTGAAATTTTTAGGGTATTCTAGTCACTAATAGACCTCTCTGTGGGCAAAATCTCAGGTCGAAATATCGTTATTTGATTTATTCCTACATACCCTGCCATAGACTAAAATTTCAGTATATTGCCTATAACTCGGGACAGAAGGCCTAATGGCACTTATCCTTTTGGGGTTTTTCATACCTCACTAGGACCTACTTTATGCATGGGGTCCGAACTGAAAAGCTTGGTATCAGTTGGTGAAGTTCCCTCGTTAGTTTCTTTTTAAAGACAGTTTAATGTTGAAAGATTCGATTGCAAAATAATTATGCAAGAAAAAGAAATCGACATATTCCAAACAGATATAAACCAATCTCTACCGATCAGATGACGAAGTCGTTTTTTCGGTAGGAAAGTTTTTTGATTCATCTGATAATGGGAACCCGTTACAGTTCGCTGAGAGCTACGGAGTAGTGTATTCAGATTTTCGATGACATTTAACTGATTCTAATGAAAGAAAAAGTTAGAGCTACCCCTGAAGTATATAGGTCATTGTATACATATCGGTAAACCTTATCAAACGGTACATACTTAATTGGGTGTGGGTGTAGATATCTCTACCATTGACTCATTTACACTCATGCTGATATAAACACCCACACCCATACCCTTTTTAAAATTTATTCGATTCTCCATTGATTTTAAATAATAAAACTTCACTTTTTCTTTTATTTTTATTTCTCAATTTTTATTCAATAAAAAACCTTTTTTTCTTGAAAAACCAAAACTTCATTCACACAATTATTTCAAATTTTTGAATTCGTTGATTTCTCGAATCAACAACATAAAGATTTCCATCATCATCAAAAGATATACCCATTGGAGCATTCAGTTGATTTGGTTGATATCCTTGACTATTATTTCCACCAACAACAATTTCACCTTCTTCTTTACCTTCACGCCAACGCATTACTCGATGATTCCAAGAATCTGCCACATAGATTTGACCAAAATGGTCAACAATTACTCCTCCAGGATAATATAATTGACTGAGATTTTTTCCTTTCCCATTTCCTCCAGCTACAACTGTTCCTTCTTTTGCATCTTTTCTCCACTTCATCACACGATGATTGAACGAATCTGAAACATAAACAGATTGTTCTTCATCAACAAAGATAAAAGTAGGATAAGAGAGTTGATCTCGTCTGCCATTTCCACCTGCCACTACAATTCCTTCATTGTTGTATTCTCCCATTTTCCATCGTCTCACTTCATTCTTCTCACAATCAGAAACATAAAGAAATCCGTACTTATCCATTGCCAAGCCCCAACAGTGAATTTTCTTAATGAGAACTGTTTGATTTTGACCAGACCATTGAATCATCCGTTTGTTCTCAGAATCGGTAATAATGATCGAATGATCTTGTTGATTAACAATTACATCTGTTGGTCGATTCAATTGATCTATTAGATATCCTCTGCCATTTCCACCTGCAATAGTTTGTCCTTCCTTTGCATTATATTTCCATTCAACAATACGATGATTATCACGATCGACAATGAAAATATTTTTGTTTTTATCAATAAAGATTCCATGGGGACCACAAAGTTGATTTAATCTGTGTCCTTGTCCATTTCCAGCAGCTACAGTGATGGCATCTTGTTTCCATTTATTGAATTTTGGTTCTAGAAAATGATGAGAAGAAGAAAAAAATATTAATTTTTTAATTTGATATTAATTTATATCATATCATTCTTTTCCTTTGCATACAAATAAATTTAATCTTTTCTCTATATTAGTATCATTGTTTTTAGTTTTTCAACAGAATAGTATAGAAAACGAGAATTATTCTCTTAAAAATTGTCTCTAAAAAACTTACTTTTTGAGAAAACAAATAAAATTTCACCAATAAATGATTTTGAATCTTGTTCAATAGAAATCTTTGATGGATTATTTAATTCTTCTGTAATTTTCATCAATTGATTTCTTAAATAATTTAACTTCATTTCATTAAATTCATTTTCTTCATGAATTTGTTTTATTTGTTCACGTAAAACATTAAATGTCATTTCAATATCATTGATACATGTTTGTGATGATTTAATCACATTTTCTCTGTACTCTTCTGCTTTTTGTTTAATTTTTTCAATCGAATTTATTTCCCATAGATTAATTTGTTTTATTAATGAATAATTTTCTGGATTTTGTTTTTGTTCATTAATTCTTTGTTTAAATTCATCATAATCATTAGTAATATGATGTAATTCTTCATTTAATAACTGTTTATGCTCTGCTAAATCCGTACAACAAAATCTTTGTGAGCATCCTCTACAAGAGTATTTTGTTTTTTCTTTCTTGCATTTAAAACATTGTGTTTTGTTGTTTGCCATTGCCATGCCTTCGAATAGAAATTTATAGAAAAGATGAATATTTTCTTATCTATTTTTATAATTCTAAACGTAATAATTCAATGACGATAGAAGTATTTTTCGGTAGCAAAAGAGATCGAAAAAGAATTATTTTTTATGACAAAATTCGACTAATAAAATTGATGTAATATCTTTTAAGAGTCTAACGGCGGCATATAATAAAAATAATAGTCACATCCACGCTCATGCACTTTCAATGTAGAATGTAAAACTTGAGTATGTACTTTTTTATTTACGAGATAAGAAAAAACAAGATGCTGTGCGATCAATTTTTTTGTCTCAAATAAAATCATGTTTTTCTTACATGAAGAAGAAAAAATATCTCTTGTTGAGTGTGGGTGCCAATCATTTATCACACCAACATCCACCCCTCTATTTGTATGATCCTCTCAAACATGGTTCGAATCTTCTTTTTTTTTACAGATCTTCAATATTTTAAAACTTCTTCTCTGATTCTTATGAAATAATTTCCATACCTTTGATTGTGTATCAGTATGCTGTCTTTGTTTTGAAAATAGATGAAAGGCCAAACGGTAACCATCTTCTTATATACAGTTTCTCTTTTTCTTTTTATTTACTTCCGAGATTAGTGTCTTAGTTTTTTCCCACTTCTCAGTAGGTATCTGTTACATTTCATTTATTACAAAGAAGAAGAAGACCTTTAAAAAATAGTTACGATTGATTGCAAAAAGACAATTTAAAAAGTTATCTTTTAACATGTTATATGATATTGATCATGAAGCACGAAAAAACAAAGCACAACAATAATTCATCGAAATCTATCCTTATCCATGGTAAATTGAATATACATACATATAACACTTGTTACATGATGTATAGTAGGTTTCAACATATTCTAATTATACTATGTAACGAAAAATAATAAGAAACTTGAGAAATATAGTTGCCAATACTCTTCGTATTGATGTATTGACTCATTAATATGATTACTATTATTGTAACAATATATAAAACAATAGGGTGTGGGTATTCTATTCTAAGGAGAGTTCATTATTCTTCAGATAAAACTTACGTAAATTATGAAATATAACGAATCATTTTTCTTCTAGTTACAAGATATATATAGATTTGAAATATAGTAATGTTAGTCAAGTATATATTATTTGTGATCAAAAGAAAGATTTTACAGCCGAATATTTTTTGAATTATTTTTGATTGAAAAATGAACAATCTCTGTTACATTATTCTTTATTTATATAAATACGAATCTTTAAATTCATAGCTTTTTCCTTATTAGAAAAACATTAACCATTCAACTTTAATAAAAAACCAGTTTTCTTTTCTACAAATGATTGATAATAAGAAAAAATCTTGAAACATTTCAATAATAAATAAATCAAAAATTTTCTTATTTCTGATGCCACTTGCCAACAATTTCGATTATAGCATTACCTAGTTGTTCATATTGTTCAATATAATTATAGATATGTATTGATATTCGAACGTATAAATTTCCATCAATATTTTTAATTGGTACTTCAATATTATAATCATGATAAAGTTGATTTTGTATTATTTCAGCATCATCATATTTAAAACCACCATTATTATCATTAGATATCGGCAATTTTATACAACGCATTGGACCAGATATATCATCTGAAGTTAATTTTGATGTATTCCACATTTCTACTAATAAATCACTTGCATCTTTAGCTAATTTTGTATTACGATCTATAATTATTTTCATATCATAATATGACCAAAAACGTAAACATTCATTTAATGCTAAGAAACTTGTGTAATCTTTAAGACCAGTCCAAAGAAATTCTGAATGCATCCCAGAATCAATTCCATGTGATTGTATACATGGATGAATTATTAGTTTACTATTTGATTTTATATATAATAGACCCACTCCTTTGGGTGCACAAAACCATTTATGACAATTTGTTAAATAAATATCTGGTAAATAATTATCTTCATAATCAAAACGAAGATTGATTGAACCAAGTGCATGTGCTCCATCAATGATACATGAAATATTTAATTGTTTACAATAATAACAAAGATCATTTATTGGTAAGATGAATGGCGATTGACTTGATATATGATCAAAGAATGCATAAGTAAATTTATTTGATTTAAGAGCAAGTTTTATTTTATCTACAACCTTATTAATATCATCAATGGGAAATTCAATTGAGAATTCATATAATTTCGCACCAGTCTCTAAACAAATCTTCTTTATATACTTTTTATAAGCACCATACATAGTATTCATTATAAATATATGACTTTTATCATCTATATTTAATGATGTTATTATAGAATTCCAAGCAAATGTAACATTTTCAACTAATATCAAATTCTTTGGTGTTGTGCAACCTAAAAATTTTGCCATTTTTCTTATTACATCTACTAATCTTGGAAAAATTTCACGATCATAAAAACTTAATGGTTGTTTTTCAATATAATATTGAAATAAATGTGAATATTCTAATGCTTGACGTAATACACAACCAAATGCTCCATGATTAAGAAATATATATTTATTATCTAATAAAAAATATTTTTCATTCATCGCAGGTCCAAATGGAATCTTATCATCACTTGTATAATCATATAAAGGAAATGGTTCTGATAATGATATAAAACAATCATCCGGTAGATCTAATAATTCTTCTACATTTGAACTATGAAATGAACCAAAATCACGTCGTACAATCGATGACATGTTACTTTTTATCTGAAATTTAACAAAAAACTTGAGAGTGTGGGTGTGAGTGTGGTTATTATATTCCTTCCACATTAATACTCA